ATAGCTCGTGCTGTGCATTGACGATGAATCCAGTTTTGCTCTTGTGTGATGAGGAAAGCTTTAAAGCACTGAATGCTTGTTTTACTTTACAGGCAGCTTTAAGAAAATTACTATAACTCCTACTAAGGACTTGTTAAAAGGTCACAGATTCGTGGTAACTTATTAGCTGAACGTACACACTGCAACTGCAGAGATAAAAGTAAAAGCTTCTGGCTGTCGAACAAAGTCTACGCTAGGCTGTGCATCTTCAATATCACCACTGTCGGCTACAGTTGACACTCACGTTCATCTGTGGCTTTTGACTATAGTCAACGCTGGGCTGTGCGTGGCTGACAACTACAGTCGTCGCTGGTACGGAAATGGTTAACTGCCACAGAAGTTGTATTTAAGTCATGCTCATTTTGAGCCCAGGGCCCTGAGGAGCATATGTAACTCACAAATCTCTTCACCTTGGGAACTGTGAGAACTATTTTTCAAGTTGCATTTAACACATGTACAAAATACAATAAAAAATAACATATTTTTCATTCAATTAGAAAAAAATTGTTTTGTTTTCGAAGTTTTTATTTTATTTTCTCAATAAAACCCTGTGGCCCCAAGGAAAAGTTATATTCTTTTTTCTAGTGTGGCAGGGAATGTGTTAAATTCCAAGAAAATATAAAAACAACTGCTTAAGGGCAAGAGAGAATAATCAAATACAGGCAAAATCTTGGTCAAACTCAAGAAGACCTAAAAATGGAATTAGAATATGATTTTAAAGAAGCTATTTTTACTATTATAACAAGGATCTAAATAAAATTGTTTGTAAGAAAAGAACAAATAGGAAAACCCCACAGATATACAAAGTATGATAATAAATCAAATTAAGATTCTGGAACTGAAACACTATTTGCAGATATTTCACAGAAAACAAGAGTAAATTGGAAATGAACACAAACATCATTTAACTTGAATACAAATTAATAGAAATTATCTAATCTGAATAACATAGGTATAAAAATATTTTTTAAAAATGAACAGAATTTCACTCATCTGTTGGATATTGAAATGTCTAACACAAGTGAAATGAGAATCCCAAAAGGAGAAGAGAGAGAAGAGGAATAAAAAAATTTGAAAAAAATGTCAAAAATATTCTCCAATTTGGTAAAAAAAAAATTAATCAAGAAGCTCAGCAAATGGAAGAAGGATGAATCTAATGCAAATCATAATTGAGACTATCACAGTTTAAATGGTTATAGTCAAAAGTAAAATCTTGAAAACAAAGCTTAAGAAAACAGATATTACATTTAAGTGAACAATGAAATGAATTCAGGCTGACATCATTAGAAACTGTGGAGTTCAGAAGACATGAAAGTAAAACTTTTAAATTGCTTTGAAAAATTTAAAAAAAAAAAGTTAATTAACCCAAAAGGAAGGAAAGAAAAAAGAGAGAAACAAATTAAACTGATTAAACAAATTATAAGGTGGTATACCTAAACCTAATAATATTGATAATTATATTACATTTAAATGGATTAACTGCAATAAAGAGGAAGAAAGTATCAAAATGGATTTAAAAAACAGGACTCAAATATTTATATATATACTTTAAATGTAAAAACATCTATAGGGTGAAATTAAAAAGATGGGAAAGGTATATTTTGTAAAGTATAGCCATTAAAGGGAAGAATTAGCTATACTAACAACATAAAGGTAGATTTCAAGTCAACAAAATATTATAATTAAAAGTGTTATTTATAATGAGAAAGGATTCAATTAATTACAAAGATATACTAATCCTAATTATATACACACATAATAAAACAGCTTTAAAATACATGAAGCGAAAATTGAGAAAATTCAAAGGAGAAACAAAATTCTACAATCATATTGGGAGATTTTTAATACCTCACTCTTAAGCAATTGATAAAAAAACTAAACAAAAAAAATTAAAGACATAAAAGATCTGAACACTGTCAAACACAATGACATAATTAGTATTAATATTTAAGGAGCTTTTCACCCACTAGTTGCAAAATACAAATTATTTTCAAGTACATATAGTATGTTCACCAAAATATGCTGGGCCATATGACAAATCTCATTAAATTTCAAAATATAATAATTTTATACAGTGACCACAATGGAAGTAGAAATCAGTGACAATAAAATATACAGAAACACACACACACACACACACACACACACACACACACAGATATTTCAACAATAAACAATATACTTCTAAGTAACCAAAGGACCAAACAGAAAATCACAAGGGAAATAAGAAACATTTCTAACTGAATGCTTGTTTGCAGAAACTGACAAGTTGACACTAAAATTTGTGCAAAAAAGCAAATGAGCAAGAATCTACAGAATATTCTTAAGAAGGATGAAGTAACTTATACTACCCTCATTTCTAAAGTTACTATAAAGCTACATATAGTGTTTACAACCTAATTGATCACAATCAACTACATATTCCTTCCTTCTCTACTCCCACTGCTTCACTTAACCAGCCTTTAAAAAAAAAAGCTACATATATGAATAGGTATATTTCTGGACTCCATTCAGTTCCGTTGATTATTTTTGTCTATTGTTATGCTAATACACATTGTTTTGATTTTTTAGCTTGATAAATAAATCTCCAATCAGGGAGTATAAGTCCTCCTTTAAGTTCTTTATGAAAGTTGATTTTGCTCTTCTAGGTTCTTTGCATTTCCCTCTAAATTTCAGAATTGACATCTCAATTTCTTCTGGAAAAAACAGTCTCCTGGGCATTGATTGGGAATACATGATAGATCAATTTAGGAAGAACTGTATTCTTAACAATATTGCATATTCTGGTTCATGAATTTGGCAACTTATACTATACATACAAAAAAATTCTGAATAAATTGGGAATATAAATGACAAAAGCAAAGCTTTAAAATGTTTTGAAGAAAATAGAGATTACAAACATTTCTGTCTAAGGGATAAAGAAGTATTTTTTAAATAAGATACCAAAGCACTAGCTATAAAAGATTAATTTACCTAAATTAAAATTAGGAACTTATTTAATGACACCCTAAAGAAAATGAAAAGCCAAAGTACACACTGATATATCTACCACACATTTAACTTACTGGGGATTAATATCAAGAACATATAAAGAGCTTTTTGTAAATCAATAAGAAAAAAATCCAATAGAAAAATGGACAAAAGACATAAACAGACTTTTCACAAAGGAAGACACACACTGGCTAGTAAGCATTTGATGATATGTTCTATCAGAGTTTAAGTATTAAGACCAAAATAAAATTTTATTTTATACTCATTCAGTTGGCAACAAATTAAGAAGTCTGACAATACTAAATGTTGAGGAGGACATGAATCAACCAGATCTCTTTTACATTGTTGGTGAGAACAAAACTGACAAAACCATTTTGAAAAATAAGTTATCAGTACATTGTAAAAGTAACATTTTTCCTACCAATCCAGGAATTCCATTCCTAGATACATAATCCAAAAAAATGCATGCACATGAACACAAAGAATCATGTACAAAAAATGTCAACTGCATCATTATTCATAACAGCAAAACTCCGGAATTAGCCAATGTAGTCATCTAGAGATGCATAGATAAGTAATTATCATATATTCACATATAACAGAATATTTTAAAACAGTGAAAATAAACAGCTTTATTGAACAATATAGATGAATCTTAGGTAATATGAGTCAAAATTGCCAAAATGCATACAATACGTATTTTGCCACTTTTATAATTGACAAACTAAACAATAAACTGTTTCCCCATAAATATGTATGTGATAAAACTTATAAAAAATAATCAAAATGATAAACATTAATAGTTTAGTGGTTACCTCTGGTAAGAGAATCAAAGCATCAGATTAGGGAGGAATATACAATAGATGTAAATCATTAGTGATGTTCTAGTCTTTAGATGAGTGAGATCAAAGATGTATATTATAATAAACGAACAATACAATTAAATTAAATAGGCCTATGAATATAACATAATAGTGTGTTATGTCATAAATTTATAATTAGTCCAATTCTGTCCAAAAAATTCAATCAATATAATACAAATTTAAAAATTATTGTTTTAAGGTTGAGGTATTGGCAAGACAGCTGTGCTGGGTTCAAAAACTACTGTTGAAGAATCATTAATAAACATTTAAGCACCTCATTTCCTGTTTGTTTTCATTCCATTTCTGAATTAAATTAATAAATCTAAAATTTAAAAAAATGTTAAGTACTTTAAAAATACTTAAATAAATTTATAGAAATAGAGTATTTTTTAAAAAATATAGCTGAAAGTTATCTTAAAAAGGTACCATTTAACATTTTCTATATGCCAAGCTCTGCACTAGACATGTTCTATGTTCTTAATCCTCATAAAACTCTATGACATTGAGACCATTAATAACATTTTGTGTATGAGGAAAGTAGATAAAAGGGTTAAGAAATTTGTTCAAGTACACAAAGCTCACAGGCAAAGCTGTAATTTAATCTCAGATTTATTTGAATCCAGAACCTTCATATTTATCTATACTAGGAAATATTTAGGAAGGTCACATGATGTGTCCAAAATCATTCATCAAGGTAGTGGCAGAATCAGGACTAATAGATATTAAGTACGTATACCAGGCATTATGGCAGGTACTTTATGAAACTTACTGTTAGATAGTCTTTACATTCCATTACCTCATTGGGTTAGAAAAATCTCAAAATGGGCATGACCTATTAATTTGCTCTTCAATAATGTGTATCAACCAAATGATTCACCACAATAACTATACTTGATATGCCTTGATTTTCTACATGTATTTGTATATGAATCTGTAATGTATTATACTAATATAATATTCATGTCTACAAAGAGTAGAAAAATAGCATAATGCAAAACTATCTGCAGATAAAGATCTTCCAATGTATGCAATTCTATTTTACTCAATTGTAGGAAATCATTTAATTTCATATTATAATGGGTTACATTTTTAAAAAATGTCTCTCACCGGTGCTGAGCGGTCTGAATCATTTTCTTGAGGTAAAGAATAAGGTGTTCCCTGGGATTCCTGAAGTTTTTCTTTTAATTTAGCATTTTCTTGCTCTTTTTGAAAGAGCTGATCCTGAAGATTAACAACACTTTGCCGAAGCACAGCTTCATTTGATTTTGTGGTCTCAAAACAAATATGCAACTCACTGTAAAGCTGTTTCAAAAAATATATCCAAATTATATTAGTAATCAATAAAATAGTTATGCCTGTATATATATATATATACACACACACACACATATATATATACACACACACATATATATATACACACATTTATCTATACATAAGGACTGTATATGACATAGTCCTTGCTTTCAGGTTATTTTAATACTCTGAGAGAGAAAGAAGATATAAACACAAGGAAAACTAAATGATATCCCCAAATATCAATAAAAAAAAAAACTGATGTCAAAAGGCAACGTGTATTATTGACCAGTGTAACATAAGAAAACAGTGTTAAATTTCTAAAGAGGAAGAAAATACCTTACACTAGCCACATTAATCTTGGAGGGCTTTATGAAAAAGGATTTAAAATGAGTCATGACAGTATTATTAGAATTGACCAAAAATAAAAAGTCATTCTAAAAATAACAGAAATGTGAAAAAATTATGAACAGTGATAAGAAAGGACAGAAAGGAGAATAAGGGATGAGAGTCTAAGTGGACTTAATATATACAATTAAAAGAAAACAAAGAAAAACAATGAATATTTCATTGAAGGTTGCTTAAGGTTGTCTGATATATTCCCACTTAGTATAATTTAGTATTTACTGCCGAATAAGGGCAGAAGGAACAGTAAGAGACAAAGTTAAGCAATAAGATGGCAGATAGAATGTAAAGATTCTTCAATGTCATATTAAGAATGATAGACTTATTCTGTAGACAACAGGGAGTTACTGAAGACCTTGAAGAGTGTGATAAAAGAGAAGCAATGACCTGGAGCCTTGGGTAACTTTAGATTTTTTTAAAGTCAAGGCAATATGAATTAAATAAATTTAAAACTAGAGTTTAGTAAAACTATAAGACAGCGTATATTACACAAGTGGTGTCATACAAAGCATAATATAGGGTTAACAAAATGGTATGCCTAAAATACTCATGAACTTGCTTGTTGATGAAAACTCTAACTTATAATTGTGATTTAATGAGTTATATTTCAATTTTTGGTAACTGATTTACATACAGAATCTGTATTTATATCTGTGGTTGATACTAGGAAAGTGACTTAAGAGCTAAGATTTGTTTTTTATTTTTTTTAAAGACTAATAGTGATATAGCAAGATCTTATAGCAAAAGAAAAATCTGCAGCTGGAAAAATCTAAAAATTATATAGCTGATACAGTAGGTTTTTAGGTTTGCTAATCAATTAAAGATGAACAGCATCTTCCATTAGTTGGCTTTGTCTCGTGAGTAGAAACAAATACACAAAAGACTGTAAAACTTTAGTTCACCTACATACCTAGGATTTGTGTACATTTCTGTATGTAGATTACACTTTAATTTTTTTAAGTTTACATTTTAAAAATGGCGTATAAAATCTTTTATTAATGCAGTTCCTCAAATATATAATTTGTCATAAAAATAAGACCCCTCAAACTACTGCTGACATATAATTAGCTCAACATACTTTTTATTTTCTATAAAAGACTATATCTCTGTATCAATGTAGAGATACTTAAATAATCCATTTCACTTTATAGCCAAGGTCTACAAAATTTTTATAAAGAAAGTATTCCCTATACACTTTATAAAGAATTTCAAAACACAAAATTGTACTTTCCCTTTCCATTACCTTTACACCAGGGAGTATGTCCAATATCCTTTTCACAACTGATACCATCAGATATTCTAGGAGGGAAGAGAGAGTAGGAACCTGACAGTTTTGAGGGACAATGAAGAGGTTAGAGTGGGCCCCATAGTGGCCTGTGTTGCTGCTTTCATGATTGGGTTCAAAGTAGAAAAGAAACAAGCAAACTCTGGACACAGGAGCTAAGCTGTCTAGAGAAAGTTGTAGCTAGGATGAGTGAAGGTCAGCCCCTCACTGCAGTCACTTATTCAGTGAATCTTTAACCACTTCCTATTACTTGGGTGCTTTATTTAAGCTAATCTCCTTTTATCCAATTAGTATAAATTCATCTATTTGAAAAAATACAAAATAATATTATTAAAGATTCACAGATTTCAAATATTTGAGAATCTCATAGATATTGGTAAGTTCTGACAAAGAAAAACACATAGCTTCTCTCCCAACATCCAAGGTGCAGGCATGATGCCAGTGCATGGTCATGACTGAGGACCATTTTACCGGCCTTTAGTGTCAAGACTGTGGTATACCTTACTCTTGCATTTCATATCTTGAGATCTTCATTCACAAATACAAGGCCATGAAATGAATAAGCCAAATCTTAATTTCTTGTCTCTTCTCTACCCTCTTTCATGCTTCATAAAATAGAGGACTAATAGCACACTTTTTGTGTTCTTTTACTTTGTTCTTTCTGCCATGAAGTTTAAGCAGTTGCACTCCTATTCGTAAGTTGCCCTGACTTGATCTGAAATGAATGAATAACTCTAGACACTGGGGCAAGCTGTCTTCCAAAAAGTAGGTATAAAGGAACAGAGAAAGCCTGGAAAAGATTATCTAGACTAGCCCTGCTCCAGGAACTGGGACAAATTCTTACCACATACATACATCTACTTGCCTATTTCTTTGATGGCTGACTGGACTTCACTTATTTAATAGTAATAAGATCATTTAGTTGCGGACTTAAGAGTACAGGAAGCCATTTTTAATTCTAGGCTCTAGCCCAGTGGTAAGCTTGGTTAAAACAGCCTTCAATTAGATTAAACCTATCCTTATTTCTAAAGTGTTTATTTTCTGGTGACAAAGCCTCAGGGTAATAAAATGTTTATTTCTCTAGATCTTACAAGGAGGTAAAAGTTTAGGATGTTCCAGTGCCCTGGGTAGATACCATCATATTCTCATCCCATTAATAAAAGACAGAGAAAAAAAGTTCTCAAGTAAGTAATATAATAAACTCATTCATCTGCATTGCTTCAGGCATCATGAATGTAACTTCTTCCCTATTATCATTCAGGATTCCTTGTGGCAGTTTTCAAACAGACTCTTTTCTGTATAATTTATTTCTTCTAATAATCCAAAAATCTGGAATGGATCAGAATTTTTTGCAAGATTCTGACATAAAAAAAAAACAGGTAATTGTATTTTCCATTATATACTTTAGAATTAGCAATCATAATTCACAAGTAATTTGTTATGCTTACTATATTCTTCATACTATTTTCTGTTAAAGAAATTAAAGTGAGAAAAGGTTAAAAGGATCTCCATGGGACAGAAAGCAAATCATCTCTAGAAATAGGACCCCAAACTCAAAGTCCTTTAATTTTCAGGGGCATAGACTAAGGTACTGTAACTTCCCAAAATTTTATTACTGTTGAAGACCAAAATACTGATACTAATTTGTTTAAACAACAACATTTTTCCAAATTTAGTAAGTCTACCATAGATATCCCTAGTTATCCATGAGGGTTTGGTTCCAGGACCCCAGCAGATACCAGAATCTATGGATGCTCCAGTCCCTTATATAAAATGGCATAATATTTGCATATGACCTATGTTTATCTTCCTATATACTTTAAATCATCTCTAGAGTATGTATAATACCAAATACAATGTGAACATTATGTAAATAGTTGGCATACTACTTTTTTGCATTACTTTTTACAGTTTTACTGTTATGTTTTATTGTTTTTTTCCCATATATTTTTGATCCATGGTTGGTTGAATCCATGAATGTGAAACGCTTAGATATAGAAGGTCAACTATATTTTCAACACTGATTGAGACCATAAAATTCTTCAAGTGAAAACTATATAATTTATAACTGAAAATGTGAAGAAAACACTGATTTACATGTAATTTAGATTAAAAGTATGTATAAGCTAACTCCTTATTTTCCCAGATTGGTATTAGTTTGTGAAATATAATTATCATTAAATAGAACAAAAGGTTATAAAATATATATTTAGTACCCAAAACATAGTAGATGGTTTAGAAATCATAAGTGCTGACATAATTCCTATAACTATTTAAATCATACACATATGTAAATGATATGTTTAATATAAAAATAATAAAAGTTATATAAATGGCTACATGCTCGGAGGAAGAAAACATACTAGCTTACTATAATTTTTCTTGATGGTGTTTGTTTTTTGGAATAGCCTTCCACATTATATGGTAGGTAGACTGTGTATGAGATTAATGATTTGTTACAAAGACCTCTGGGAAAATATGACTTGCCTCTTTCCTGTGCTTAAAAGCTTTTTCAGTTTTCTCTCTTCACCTTTGTTTCCCCTCCTCAATCCCCTCATCCTACCATTCTGGGCAACTGTTTTATCTTTTAGATAATTAAATGGATGTTACGATATAAATAAACTTAAATGGGAAAAAAGGGGAAATGAAAGGGCAAGTAACAAATAGTGAAGAATTGAGAGAAAGAGAAAAAAAGAAATAGAAACTTCATTAGAAAGAGTAAATTAAGAAGACCTAACTCTTAGTGAGTACCATGGCCTCAGCCTAGCTCACAGCAACCTCAAACTCCTGGGCTCAAGCAATCCTCTTGCCTCAGGCTCCCGATTAGCTGGGACTACAGGCATGCGCCACCATGCCTGGCTAATTTTTTCTATATTTATTAGTTGGCCAATTAATTTCTTTCTATTTACAGTAGAGATGGGGTCTCGCTCCTGCTCAGGCTGGTTTCAAACTCCTGACCTTGAGATATCTGCCCTCCTTGGCCTCCCAGAGAGCTAGGATTACAGGTGTGAGCCACCGTGCCCAGCCCAAGAAGACCTAACTCTTAAAGAAGCTTAGTAAGAATCAGAAATAAATTGTTAGTGTAATATTATTTTTTAATTCAACTCACCTTAGTCTTACAGATAAACCCCAACTATTATTTGTAAATATTAAAATATTTAAATATTACTCTACATGAAAATATTAAAATATTTTATTACTCTTTTATTCTATTACTCTTTTAATATTCTATTACTAAATATTCTATTATTCTTTTAAAATAAAAATTTTAAAATATTTAAATATTACTCTAAATGAAAATATTAAAATTTTAAAA